CTTCCTCGTCAAGAGCAATACGTTCCTCAAACGTCTTTATACGTTCAACAATTTCTTTGAAGGTTGTAGTCTTTAGGTCTAGGACCTGCTCCAAGGAGGCCACAATTTGGATGTATTTGCTCATAGGAAGGCTGCTGAGAAACTTCTTGACTATCTTAACTTCTTCTATCTTTTCTCCAAGAGCGGTTGACTTTGAAGATATCTCAGACATTCTTCCCACAAAGTCATCAACCTTCTCATCATCCTTCATTCTCAATCTATCGAACTCGGACATGAGAGTTTGTAAACGTGCCTCTCTCACTCTCTCTGCCCCCATGTGTCTTGATTTTATCGCTTCCCAAACTTCCTTAGCAGTGTCCAACTCTCCCACTTGCAATATAAGAACCTCTGGTATGGACTGGAAGAGTATTGCAATTGCCATGTTGTTCTTCTCAGCTTCACTAGATTCCTCTTCAATTACACTCCATACGCCATGTAGTTTGAGCAGAACTTTGATCCTTATTGCCCAAACTGTGTAGTTTGTGGCATTCAGCATCGGACATGTGAACTTTGAAGGTCCACTGTCTTTAGGTTTTATCACCGTCGTAGATAGATCTCCCATTATGCGTTTTGCTTAGAACGAATCCTCCTTTGCTCTGATACCAAATGAAAAACTTGATTAAGCAAAACACACGAACACAAACAAACTTTAACAAGAATTACTCTCTTATTAAACTTACTTCAAGCTTTAGAAAATCCTCTCAAAACTAAAGCACCAAAAACTCTCGTTGTATCACAAACCGATACCTCCAAATATATAGAGTACATGTCATAAAGATAACAACAACTAAGATATTAGATAACTCCTAAATCTCAGGACTTCTTACTTATCCTAACCCATAACTCGGTTTAGACATTATCTCATAAATGATTCAAGCTGATCTAACACAGTAGATCTGTTCCGCGCGGACTGCAGTCCACGAAAGGTTGTCCCAATCCCGTCCTGCCAATATGCATAGTCACTTACAAACCGTCATGCGAGCTAGATGCAGATATAGTAGATCATGGCTGTTCTTGACGTAGGAGGCTGTTCCAAGAACATATCAATCTAGTTGTCTACAAACATACAACAAATAACCGAGAAAAAAAATCTTATTTAGCTAAAAATTTGCAAATTATATATAATACCGAGACAAAACCAAGTAATTAACAATATCAGACATCACCGAACCACTAATACACATGCATGTCCGAAAATCTATAAGACTTCAATTTATTTGCAGACATGTAGAACTAGAAGAAGGAAAGCGAATCAAACTTTTGAAGACCGCTTCGTCTTTGCTGGAGGTAAGCTCCGGTGGTGGATCTGAGAAGAATGGAAGCTCCGCTGGTCGACTGAAGAGAAATCATCTGAAATTTGAACATCATGTTAGTTAGAACTGATAATAGAAATCGACATCAACCACATACCTTCTTTCATTACCTCTGTGACATGCATGGAGAGAAAGAGAGACTCAAAACCCGTCGCTGAAGATCCCAGGTGGTGATGACGGTTCAGCGTCGACGGTCTTGTGACAAAGCCTTCACCAAATCTCAGATTCTTGTCACAGGCGGAGAGGAGAAGCTGAACCAGTACCATCGACCGGGATCTCCAACGAGAAACAAACCGCTGTCACTGGAGCTCACTTTCTTGTCTTCCCGAGTCGTATTTTGTTCAGTCTCTTTTTTTTTCAAGAGGCGCAGAAAATGAGAAGGTTGAAGATGCGGGACATTAGGATTACCCAAAGTATAAATGGGCCATCCCGCTTCTGAGTCCACCCCCACAAAGACCCATTTTAAGCCTTTTTTTGCGTGCTAACAAACCCCGGGCCCAGTACCGCCTCGCCACAAATTTATACGGGCATGTTCCGCGTATGGACCCAATTTTGACATTCCTACCTATGATCAACTGCCAACATCTTAATTTAATCATAAAGTACAAAACATATTAGACTAGATTAGAGTATTAACACACTAAATACATTATAACAGTTTGAATATGTGCGTTACCGTAGAAAGTAAATAATTATGTAACTTGTATATAAAATTTAGGTGAATCATTTGATCATCAAGAATATGAGCAAGAAAGGAACTTATTTATCTATTAATTAACTAGTTGAACTTCAAAATAAATAAGAAATGCTACAAAATCTAAATCTTATTTTACTCCATATATATCTTCTCAAACGTTAGTACCACAAGGTGGTGCAATAATGCGAATATCAAGTGTTAGGTGCGTTAATTGATAAAGTTGTGGATACGAGAGTACAATGGTAGAGACTGATCTTAATTGCATCAGACGGACAAGTAAGCAGATTTTTCAAGAGACTGAGAATCAGAACCAATGTATGTGTTAGTTACATCAAGTCCAAGATAAGGATATTGCAATCCGATCTACTGCGGATGGGACCATGAAAACAATCATACTGCAAATGTAAAATGAAACAATTTTGTATTAACAGATGAGAAATATAAAATAAGTTAAATTTGATACGGTTAAAACCATGAAGAAAATCATACTCGTAAACCAAAAATCTACTGTCTATTTGGCTTTTGTTTAACTGACCAAGTAAAACATTTATTGAACTAGTTTGATGGCATTGTGGGAGTGGGGACCTTAGCCTTACTAAGGCAAGAACATGGTGACTGAACATAGCATTTATAAACGTCAACTACAAGAGAAGAAGAAGATCATTGTTTGTGATTTGTGGTCCAGTTTTGACAACTTCATGGATGATGAGATCTTTATCATAGATATGACTAACAACAACCTGGATATATCTCCTAATTATCCACCACTAATAGATGCAAAGCATTGTGCTTTGTGCATTTGGTTACTTGAATAAGCTTGGAGTAGTGGTTTAATTTGTTATTGTAAGATTATTGATTCTAGAACATGGTAGATTATGCTTTTATAGATAATGTGCAAGAAGCCACAAAATTGACTCTAATATTGTACGATGTGACTGGAAAAACACTGCCTACAAGAACCTGAAACCGAGAATGGCTGTACAAGCTAGATTAAATTCAAGTAAATATACATCACTTCAACCACATTATAACCAATGGCACAACACCGCCTATACAAGGATCTGAAACCGACAATGACTCTACAAGATTGCATGTATATGAAAGGAGTGATGACATTAAACCCTAGTGTTCACTGTCAGTACCATAACCGCTGAAACATTTCAATACGAATGACCAAATGAGCTTAACACGATGGACCTAGCAATAAGTGAAGTTATAAAGGAGAGGAGACACCTGTTGGTGATAGATAACCCTATTTGGTTTTGGTCTCTGAGATAAACTTTTCTAATCATTATTCATTAAGAAGATATTCCCACGGTTCCACAAAATTAAAAAAAAAATTGAGATTCGTTTTACAGTAATGTAAGTTTTATGTTTTAAAAAAAAAGTTTTATGTTTTAATGTAATTTTTAACTTTTTACTTTTTATTCATGTTGATTAAGACAGTTACTATTAAAGTAATTTTTTTTCGAAACCTATAGAATTAAAGAGAGTTATTTTCAGTATTGTAAATCTATTTCTAAAAAATGTGTGAAAGTTCATAATTTTTATATTTGTGGAACATAGAGAGTAAATAGAAAACATAAAATTAAATAATTTAAATCAAATACTGTATAATGTTTTACTATAAGTATTTATCTATATTATTATTTATGAAGTGATTTTGCTGATTTTTCATGTTCTTCATAATTTTAGGAATAGTTATTAATTTTCATAAATAATATTACTAGTAATTTTACTTATATTACATATCTATATTTAATCGTTTGATCGTATATGATATTAATAATATCGATGCTGCATATAATTCTTTTGCATAAGTTATGTTGCCAACACTTGCAAGAGATGTAGTTCTTTTTGTTTAAGAAGGTGAATTATGATCTCTCTATTTTCATTTGTATATGAGATGTTGTGTGTTTAATGGCTACCCTTCTCTCTGATCTTTCTTATATTTATATGTAGTGATCTGAGGCACATGTTTTAAGGAACTGTTACCGTGATTCTACAAAGATCTATGAGGATGGAAAACAAAAGTTTGCTTCAATTCAACCTTACGCATCATCAGACTATTTAAATCATCCATATACAATGATGAAGATGTTTTCATGTAAACTAAAAACACATCTCTTTTCAATCAGAAGGTTTATTGTTTCTTCTCAGACATGTTTTTCCTTATTTCTTACAACTGAAGATTTCAAGCCCTCTCAATTTTGCTTGTATACCCTTAATTAGAAATGTGAGATATTAATAATGTCTTCCAATGTTGCTAAAAAAATTATATCTAATAAAGAAGTCTCATATATTTGTCTTTTTAGAATTGGAAAATATTAGATGTACATGTATCTAATTCCAGACAGATTATCTTTGTGTTTTGATTGCTCAAAGCCGAGTTGAAATGCATTTTACGACGCAGCTATAAGGAACGGGAATGTTCAAGCTCTCTCTAGAAAACAAAAGTAAGTCTACATTTTAAATTTTAAAACTTTAATTATTTCTGTTACTCTTTTGTTTTTGTCATAATCTTTTGTACTACTCTGGTTTGTTTGGTTGCAAAATTCGATTTTTTAATTTGGCTTCCAAATGGATTTACTGTTGATCGTTTGTGATTGACTGATTGTGGCATTACGCATTGCATATATTGAATTATATGGGATTAGTTGTGCATGAAATTTAAATTTAAAAACATAATTTTAATATCAGTTACTAATATAAATATTGAAATTAGATTCTAAAATTAATTTACAACTTTTCTTTGATAAAATTTGGATTTATTAAAAAAAAAATTAAGTTTAACATTTGAATATTTATAAATTAGTCCCTAATCTAGTTAAGAAAATAAAACATAAAATTAAATAACCAAAATCAAACACACGAGATATAAATCAAAACCCTCAAAGCCAAGGATACCCTAAAATGTTGTTGATGTAGAGAAGAAGTTCGAGAGGAAAAGTATGATTGAACAGCTTTTATTATTAGTCGGCTCAATTCATGTTGAAGATGTGATTTTGATACTGCTAGAACAAGGGATTCCACTACTGTTAAAACAAGTCTCCCGACGATACTCATCAAAGAAACGACAAACCAAAAGAATTGGAGTAGAAGAAGACAAGATCAGTGCTCTCCCTGACGATTTGCTCGTGAAAATATTGTCTCTTGTCCCAACAAAATATGCAGTAGCTACCATTATCTTATCAAAACGATGGAGATACATTTGGACGATGGTGCCAAAGCTTGACTATAATATGAACGATGGTATTCACAACAAAGTAGGTTTCCTCGACTTTTTATTTGGTAATAGTTACCAACGGTGGTTTTTACGGTTTATTAATGAGTCATTACGAGTCCACAAGGCACCTGTATTAGAAAAACTAGGTATAGAACTCGGTCCGCGATGCCCTGTTGATGTAAATGTTGACGTTGGAAAGTGGATTGAAAAAGCTGTTGATAAAAGGGTGCGTGAGATAGAGTTCATACTCAGGTGGTCTGCCGAGTATACTATCTTGCCTAAGAGTCTTTACACATGCGTTTCGCTCGTTTCTTTGAGTCTTTCCGGAAAGATTCTCGTGGATGTTCCTTCTCTGGCTTGCCTCCCTTTCTTGGAAGATCTTGAACTTCACTCTGTGGTGTACAAAGATGAAGATTCTTTTGCTAGGCTTTTATCAAGTTGCCCTAAGCTCAAAATTTTGAGTGTAGCACGACATGATCACCAAGACAACGTGAAAGTTTTTGAGATAAAATAGGGGTGGGCACTTTATCCGATACCCGAACTCGTACCCGAACCCGACCCGAAGTATCCGAACCGAAATCCGAACCGAAGTACCAAAATACCCGAACGGGTATTGAGTTACGAGAGTTTGGATATCCGAACCCGAACGGGTAATACCCGAACCCGAACGGGTATCCGAAGATAACCGAACATATGTATATATACCTATTTATTCCTAGTTTATTTTATCTCATTTTATTAAAACTATTTATATTAATGTTGTATATAGTTTAATATCAGATAATATACATATAATTGTAAAAAAAATGATTTGTTACTCATTTAAAATGCATGTTAAGCTTCTTATTTCATACTTTAAACAAAATTTGCATCCAAAATTCGAAAATAATAACCAAAATAATGATTTTTATTTTCAATAATTTATTTTCAAACTTATTAATCGTCTAACTTATTAATCGTCTAACTTATTAAACATTTAAAAAACAGTTAAGTTAATAGTTAAATTTTAAATACATGAAACTTAAGTAATTAAGAATTTAAAATTTTTCTTTCAAAATCTAAATATCCAAACCCGACCCGAAATAACCGAACCCGAATTAAAAATATCCGAACCCGACCCGATATGTAAAAATACCCGAACGGGTTCTAAACCCCAATACCGAAATACCCGAAAACCCGAAATACCCGACCCGAACCCGAACGGGTACCCGAACGCCCACCCCTAGATAAAAGCTCCATTATTACAAAGCTTATCCTATGTGCATGTGTATGTGTATGGGGAACTAGAATCACACAACGGTGGGGGGACTTTGGTTATAGATTCTCCCGGTTTAAAGGAAATCACTATCGCTGATTACTCGGGGGACTCTTGCTTCATTGAGAACGAGACTCACCTTGACAAGGCATTTATTAGCGGTTCTTGTTACCCTGACAACAAGTTTAAGACATGTCTTTCCTCAGTCATAAATCTCGAGTTAGTTTTGAACTTTGCAACGGTATGCAGTGCTCTTCTTCAGTTTCATTAGCATGATCACATTTCTTATGTTTTTTTTTTTTTTTACTTATGTGTTGTTTCTGTTGTTCATTGCAGTTTACGTGGTTTAACACTATTAACTTCTCACAGCTTCTGGAATGTAAGATAAGACTTGCAGATAGTTTAGACTGGTTAGAGCCACTATTGTTTTTGCTTCAAAACTCTCCTAATTTAAAAATTCTTTCCATCGACCAGGTTTGTACTTTCATTCATGCAGTTTCACTATAGGGGAAATATTCAATATATTATCTCTTGTGGTTGTTTAACAGACATTCATTCGATATGCGGAGGAGTTGCCACTTTCATGGAGCCTACGAAGTTCTGTTCCCGAGTGTTTGTCAACCCATCTAAAGATCTTTGAATGGAATGATTATGGAGGAAGATACAAAGAGAAAGAATTGGTAAGATACATCTTTGCCAAATCTAACTGTTTAAAGAGAGCTGGATTCTCCTTGAAACCAACCGGTAGAAAGAAGAAGATGATGGAAGAGTTAGAAACAATGTATAGGATTTCGACATCATCCCAGCTTCTCTTCTCCACTGCATTGGAATATCTGAGCGTTCAATACGAAACGAGTGACTAGTTTTATGTATCATGGATTAGGGATCGGATATCCGTTCAGTACGGGTTTGGTATTTCGTTTTTTCGAGTATCTTATATATTAAAACAGAAGTCATGACTTGACTTCATGTGTGATTTCTTAAAAAATGGACTATTACTAGAAAGTTATGTTACATTAACTCTCTAATAATCTTATCATTATTATATCTTATGTAAAATCATATCTATAATAACAAAAATATGTTTAACAATTTGGTTTTGGTAAATTACCCCACACCTTCCAATTTAGTTACACGAAATATGTCAATAGATATAAGTTTAGAAATCTTCTATTATTTATAAGGAAATATGTCAATAATAGTTAAATGCATCCACAATATATTAACAAAAATCACAGATTAGTAATATGGAATATTTATATACCCTAACAAAATTTACACGCTATATATATTAGAAAAATTTATTTCGATGTAAATATTAAAAAAAAAAATTAAAAAGAAATTGTTTAAAAAATTCCTTTTTAATAAAATTCTTTATAATATTAATTTATGAAGTTATAAGTTTAGTTTATAGCAAAATTATCTTCGAAGTTTGTATTATCTTTGCAAATTAAAGTACACTAATATTTAATCAAGCTGTATTTATATTATTTTATCTAAAAATGAAATACTAATCTAACAAACAATAAAATATAGAAGAAACAAACACATGTTTGAAAAACATGTATAATATAGAAAATTTGAAACAATCTATTTGATTAAAACACTTATTATATAATATTATTATGTTTGAAAAACATTTACTATACATATCGTAAATATATGATTACTATAGTATATATCAATTTAAAAGTGAAAATAAAATTTTTATATAACTAACTATAAACGAAAACAAATACCCCCGCGGTTGCGCGGGTCAAAATCTAGTCTATATTATTAAAACTGAAGTACCTTTTGATACTGTTTGGAAAT